ATACATCTCTGACAAGATGATTATATGGGATCACTTGCAAGATTATCTGTTTATTTCACAGCTGAAGGACAAGTGGATGTATTGAGTTAACCCTACCTCAGGCATGCTGGGCTGTGCATCTTATTTGTTCTCTTTTATTTCTAAGCACTGTGATCTGCGTTGCCAATAGCTGGCCTTAACCCACATGGCCATAATGAAGCGCAGTTATTTATGTGTTGGTTGTGATTCAGAAGGTATTTACAGTACCAACAATAATATCAGGTTTCAGAACATGTATGGAATAAATTCGAAGTACCTTTTTTCCCTTTTTTCTCTTCTTTCCCACTTATTTCCTTTATAGCATCTTTGTATTCCATGCCATCTGGTGCTGATGATTCCCACATAGCAAATACTTGATGCACGGTGGAGATACCCTGTCATACTGACTGCAGAGATGGCCTTCAATACAGTCCCCCAGTTTAAAAATGTGACAAGCTACTATTTGGAGAGCATAATTTATATATCTGTAAACATACTGACAAATTTATAAACTTAAAACATGGAAGTTTTTCCATTTTAACAGTCTGGTTGATTAAGCTGTGGGACTCAGGGTTGATTTTAGCACACAGGAACAGTCTGCAAACTGTTACATCTTGATATATGCACAAATATGCCAGTGTAGATATTTTTCTGAGAAAAATATGAAAATACATAATGATTATTTGTGTTGATGTGCATTTGGTTATTTTCATGATTTGCTTCAAAATTAAACCATTAAAACTGGCAAATAAGAATATTAAGCCCATGACGAACCTTTTAGAATCCATAGAGGAGGGAACATTTTAAATTAATAAAAACCTGCCTAGCACTTAGGCTGTGGTAGCAAAAAAGGATATAGATCTTTTTTTACCAGGAGGGGTTGATTTATAGAAAACATTAGGCATCTCAGTTGAATTGACGAATTGTAATTCTTATCGCTACAGCTACTGAAGTGATTTTTCTGGATTGACATTTGCTTGTTAGTATTATAGCCCTCCTGTTATAATCTGTTATCTTAATCCTCAGGTAGATCATATTAAAGTTTGATTACTTAATACCTATGTTTTGTTAATGGGCTTTTCATGGAGAAGTGGCATTACCTGATTGTAAGTTAGACATTCTTTGTAAGATTGGATCAAGCCCAGTAAAAGAGGCAGATAAAGCTACCAGTATCTCCACGAAGTTTGGGAGTCCCTGAAATAGATTTCTGTTAGTTTTGTGTCTCAAAACCCTTTTGCTCTGTTATGCTTTGAAGAACATTGTGCAGGGCTGGAGTTGGACTCTGTGATCCTTGTGGGTACGTTTCAACTCAGAATACTCCATGATTTTGTGGACTACTGCTATATGTTTTTCTGATACTGCACAGATAAATTAGGCAGAGTAACAGACATTCAGAATTAGTAAATGTTTCTCCACTGAATCCCCCAATGCACAAAAGACTGAGCATTTACACAAGGGTGTCTAACAACAGGGAATTAATTGTGTATTTTGTGTATTTTGGTGAAACAGGATGGCTTACATTCTTACCAATTGCATTCCAGGGAAGAAATACAAAATGTAATGGGAATATCAGTGTGTATCTCTTGTTACTGTCTTAGTTCTCCTCCACACTCTTGTCCTCTAAAGCAGCACATTTATTTCATATCAGATATGCCCAAATAATTCTGCCATATCTTATCATGGCTTTGTAGGGAAATTATGGCCATGATGTCTGCAAGGACTGTCACAGCCTAGAGCTTGCTTTGCCAGCTGTTTCACACGTCAGGGTTACAATTTCCAGGAATAAGTTGGTAAAGCCCTGGAAAGAGTTGCAGAATTTCTAAGTTTGAAGACCTCTCAAAGCTTTCGTAGGCTGTCACTGTGGGTAGTATCCGTGCAAAGACATCCCAGAAGCAGCAGAGTTCAAATGAGGTGTACTTTATGTGATGGTAGCAAGGTGCACACCCTCGTTCCTACTCACTTGGAAGGCTTGCACCCGCTGTGCCATCAGCTGTGGTGATGAAAGCTGTGCTGTAAAGGGTGGCTTCTGAACTCAGAGGGGCACCAGAGGAGTGGCTGCTCATATCCAGGATTTTGCTGTACTTGAGAAGCTGAGATCCTGGTAATGGATGGTGAGATGCGATCAGTTGGCACTGCAAAATGCAGATGGTGGCAGTAAAATTGTCATTTGCTGAAGCAGCTCTTCAGGAAGCAGACACAGCCTGCTCTGTATTTTGGTATAGCTGGGTATGTTGCCGAAGTGTCCGCTGTGGCAGTGGGGGATGTAGAAAGCTCAGTCCAAGTTGGATACCTGTGTCTGTGGGTAGGTGCACTTTGCCACACACCTGTCCATGACATACGACCTGCCAACCCTCTCTTTTTCTCCAGGCAAATAAACACAGTGAAGTCCTGTACCTCATGGCCAATGTGTGATTTTTTTGTGCCCTTGTCCTTTTCAGTATGCTGGAGGAGCACTCACTGCAGTAACATGGCCCAGTGTCACTCATTACTTTACCTGTTTTATCTTTTGTGAAATTGAGCCTTTAGCCAGAATTGCCTGAGCTGCTGCTCCAGCAGTCAGTAAACTGTGAGGCATCTCGAGCTCATTTCTCTCAAGTAATTTGATTCCCACGTGCTTCCTGAGATTGCTTTTTCACTGAAAGTGGGAAAGAGAGGGTGCAGATGGGAGCAAACCAGAAATGTTATGGCAGGCAAATGTAGGCTACAGATAGAAACAATGCAAAAGCATGTTTTAACAGATCCCATCTTGCTTTATCTTCCTTTAACCAAGTCCTATAAACAAAAATATTTTTCTGTTTGAGAATCAGAGGTACAGGGGCTTTTGTGCTGATGCAAGGTTTGCAACAGGAGGCTAATTCCATCCTGCTTCATTCTGCATATAGTCAGTAAGATAATCCTTTCCGTAAAATTTTCAGGAATGTGTATAAAATACTAATTAGATGATTCTTTTTGTGGGGTGGCTGATCATAAAAGGCTCTGATGGATTTTAGCGTATTTTCTGAAATCACACACAGAATTCAAGGCTGTTTATTTAGGTTGCTGAACTGTTTCCTTTACATTGTGGTGACTTAGTAGTAATTGAAAACCACTTTTCTAGATAAGGTTCTATTTAAGACTTGTTAGTATGGCAGCAGTTTCTAAACAGTGTACAATTTATGGAGAGAGTCTATACAATACCCAGTGCTTTATCACCATTTTGGCCAACTACCCTGCCGCAAGGGAGTGAAAAACAAGCCTGAAAAGTTAATCTTGCTGGAGGGAGAATTGTTCTGAAAATAAACCATTCAGTGCATAAACAATAGTATATCAGTTGTCTGAAATATGCATTTGTCCCTCTGCATGGTGTTCATTTTATGTCCAGGCAGAGCTACCACACTCAGAGTATTGAATTTCTATGTGAAAAAGCCCCAGTTTGTTAGCTAGGTTATTACTAATGTGAGCAGATGGTCTGCTCAGAGCTCTGTTATTTTGTATTATGAAAATGAGGCTGTTGGAAGTCCCCACTTTGGGTTTCGTTAGTGGTTGTTAGTTGGTGTCATGAGACATATGCCTTGATGACATCAGCAGCATTATTAAATGTTACAAGAATTTATTTTCCCAGCAGCAATAGAAGTATCCACAGTAACATTTGTAGGGTCTAAGCTAGTTTTCTATCTTGGACTTGGTAACTATATTTTTTAAGAAGTAAAAATATGCTTTATTGAGAAATGTGTTCAAAGGAAGCACATGCTAAATGTTGGTATTATCCAAAATTGACTATTTTACTTGTTTTTCTTGATGAATTGTTGTCATCTGTCACTTCAGAACAGTACACATGCTGCTGAAGAAAATCTTTGCAGAGTCAATTTACAGGGAGTGATGTTTTGGGAATGTGATTCAGTGGAGGGATTTTGGTTTGGGTTGGGTTTTTTCCTAATCTTGCATTGCACAAATTCTGAAAAAGGGTTAAAGAAAACATAAGTCAGAAAGCTGAAAATTTATAATTTTTTGCAGTATCTGTGTTTCAGTTTATGGTTCAAGGGTGATGTGTGATGTAAGAAAGGCTGTATCTGCACAGCTGTATGCCAAATTTCATGACTCTTTCTAACCCTGTTGCTTGCTTGTCCACTGTGCCTGCAGCTCCACCTCTTCAAAGCCTGTTCTGTTAATCTAACCTGCTGAGAGCAATTCATACAGCTTATGGGGTTTTACTTTTAAATCCTCACAGAAATGATTTGCTGCCCCCAAGTTAGGAATTTAAAGGAAAATTAAATTAAGGTGCCTAAGTAATAAAAGCATCCATGGATTTGATAGGTAGAAACCATCAAAGCAAAAAGTCTGTATCCCTGGAAAGAGTTTTGTTACTGTTTAGTGCTGGGGGGGAATTAACTATTGCTAATGTATCACGCAACATAAGGTCTTAAGTTCATATGCTTATGCTTCGTGAATTCTTTAATTTCCAGAGTTGTTTGTTATGATTCAGGTCATAAATTGAGAGATTTCCAAATCAAACATTTCTCTTTATAAGGCCTATGGCAATGGGGTCATAGTGTGGTATAGTTTTGCTGACAGATGGATAAAAAAAAGAAAGCCTTAAGAAAGCCCTTATGCCTTAAGAAATGTCTGAATTTTTCTTGCTGCCATGAAATGTAAGTCTAGTATTTGTTACTGTGATATATGTGTTGAATGCTTGCCTGCCTAGTGTGACACATGTATAGCTCTGTATTGTTTTGTCTTCTCTTGAGCAGTGGACTTTTCTTAACTAGAGTCAAGGAAAAAAAATTTAATAAAGCATTGTTGTGCCCATTTTCAATTTATTTACCTGGGCAAAAATGTAACAAATGTTGCCTAAAACCTTTATACAAATCTGTGAGAAGGGAGTTGACCAACTGTAATTCCAAAATATTTTAAAGAATAGGAAGATAAAAAGCCCAGATTTTTATTTTCTTGTATCTAAAAGAAATGATACCTTTTATTTATCTCCCATTTCTTCTCTTTTTTAGGTTTTCCAAATGAGCCTGCTGCTGTCATTGCCCTTAGCACTATTAAGGAATGGTTAAGCAAGAATCACAATGAGGTATGGAATAAAATAATTTTTTTTTCAAATTTCTTTTTAAGGTTATGGTCTTTGACTCCAAAACTGTGAAAAGGGTAAGCATAGGCTTGAACCTTGAAGTCTTTTATTATTTAGTCTTAAGACCGGTGAAGTCAGGTCAGGACAGTATAGCCAGGGGAAGATTTTTTATATCTCAAAGCCATACTAGAATTCAAAGGAAATACCTTTGTTTGAAACCATACTGTACATTTCCTGTGCATTGCAATCTTTCCTGGCAAAGCAGAAGACTGTTCTCTTCCAAAGCTGTTTCTGAGAATCAGAGTTTTTGGGTAATAATGAGGAGATTCTTGGAAAGGAAGTGTGCATACCAGTTGTCAGTGGAAACGGCCACCAAAGGTCAGTGGTGTTCCAGAGGTCACTTTACAGTGAAGAGCTGTAGGTTCCTATTTTGTGTTTTCAATAATTTTTTTGTTTGCTTACTGTTAAGTGTTAATTTTCCCAGAAACACTCACTAATTTTTAGTAGTACTGGTCATCTCCCAGTGGCAACGTGAGTGATTATTTGTACAAGACAAAAATTGCTTTTAACAGAATGATCTGCATCACTCCCCTTTCCAGTGTTTGCCTTTCTCTGTACATAGTGTTGGATTGGAGAAGTGCAGCAAAAAAAATGGCAAAACAAAAAAAAATATCATGTCTTAAACTGACAGTCTACCTGTTTCCTCATGATGATAGCCAGCAGATTTCAGACTGTTGAAGTTGTTTGGTATTTTGTCTGAAAACATTGAACAAAGCATTCAGCGGAGAAGCGCTGCATACAAGGACATAATTAGTAATATATTCCTCTAGCAATATATTCATGGAGCCTATTTTTTCCCAAGAATCTGGTATGTCAGGGTATGAATTTAGCGGGTGTTTGTGGTTTTGTTTGGGTTTTTTGTCAAATTTTGATTGAAAGGAAGTAATATGTTGAGATTTGAGCGGTACAGTTGAGGTTTTCAAACCTGGAGGTGCACTAAGGAGGGCATACCTGTTTGGACGCTGATTCTTTGCAGCACTGAGTAGTTGGTTGATGTGGCTTTTGCTGCTGTCACAGTTGCTTCCCACAGCTAGAAAGCTGAGCAGTGAAGCAGGAGTTTTGGGTGGACAGACTTGATTAACACTATTAGGGTCTAAATCTCATCAGCTTAGCCCTAAACTTACATTTTTGAGATCTTGTCTTTTTGTAATTTTAATCTTGATTAAATTAAAATTGGTTAAAACCAATATGTTTGTGGTGCTTACCATCTTATAATTTCTCCTAGCTTCATTTTTACCACATAATTTTAAAAAATAGGCTAAAAGTTTTGGTTTTGTTTTTCGCTCCAGAAATAAGCTTTTCTTTCTCAAAAGCTGAGTCTGTATTGTGTATACACCTCCTGCCTTACTCCTCCCAAACTCCAATTTAACCAGAATTACTTGTAAATAAGTAGCTGTTGTTTATAATATTTGGACAGTAAAAGGAGCCCAGGCTGTCCTAAATACAAAGCAATTATTTAAAGTTATCCTACTCATCTTATACCACTGTTGTTTTTTTTCAATTTGGGCTATTACAGCTCATAGTTGTTGTCTTAAATGTGTTTTTCTTAACATCCTGAATCCCAGCCTTGCCAAGCTGAGGTCTCACTCTGATGTACTTGAAGACATATGGGTGGTGCAATTATTGCATATTACTGATGATGATGATGATGACTCAGAGCTGTTCCCCCAGAGTTTTTGTTGATTTTCAAAGGAAGTGGAGTATTAGGTTTCTCTCAGGATACATTTTGAAGGTTTGGTTATCCACAGCTTTGTACTTTCTCACATTAAGCTTACTGTCTTCCTAAGGTTTTTCCACAATCCATTGGCTTAAGTTTTAGATTATGGTTTACTGACATGTTTTACATGTTGTAAACAGGACAGCAGCAAAATAAAGATACTTTATTTTATTGGAGACAGCAGTAACTTGTGCAGTAAAAGGGATCTTTGGGAAGCATACAATTACTGGGTTTCTGTCATTTAATACATATAGCAATGTGAGCATAGTTACCTGGTTTAAAAGAACTGATGTAGCTCTGTGCCAGGTGTCAATCTGATCCATTTTATATTTTTATGGAACCATAGAATGTTTTGCATTGTAAGGAACCTTGAAGTGCATCTAATTCCAGCCCCTGCTATAGGCAGGGATGCTACCCACCTTACCAGGCTGCTCAGGGCCCCATCCTGGCCTTGAACACTTCCAGGGATGTGTACACTTAATCCCTTGGACTAGATTTTTTGTTTTGTGTAGTAATATTATACATTAACCAAGCTTTTCCCCAAAGTATTTCATCATACAGCAGTGGAATTAAGAGGACTTTCTGTGCTTAAATACAGTCTCCTCTTGTTGCACTCAGCCATATGATATAGTCCTTTCTACAGAGTTCTGTCTTAAAGACAGATCAATTCCCACTACACCCACTGGATATTTAAATTTTCTAGTCTGGGAGCAAAACCTCTAACGATCTGGCATGAGGGCAGCTTTTTAGAGTGCTGTCTTCATCTCTTTCCTGTTACCGCTGACCAAACCTGCTCTCTGGTACTGCCTGTGCTGTCAGGATGAGTTGGTGTGTCCTGCTAACAGCCTCTCCTGAACAAGAGAGGCCTCCTACACTTGCCTCTGCCAGAGTTAAATTAATCAAAGTCAGCTTCTTTCCCTCAACCTTTGTTCTGCAATCTGCCTTGCCTGTGAGAAGGTTCTGCTCCTTTAGTCCCAAAGGTGTCTGGCAGCCAGTTATACCCTTGGACCTAACCACTCACTAAGGTCTCAGACTCCTTGACTGTAGAATGTGAATTGACTGATTGAATTCAAGAGGTTTTAGTGCAAGATAGAGAGCATGCTCACCAGGGAATCTGCCTCCATAGCAATATACCTGGCAAAAACAGGTAGGTGAATAAGATGGAAAGCGAACAAATTTCTGTCTTGTGCTCTACAGCAGCCATTTCTTGTCTGCCTTCCAGCAACCCAGGAATCTGTGACAAATTCGGGAAAGATAAGGCAATATTCTTGTTTTTACCTCTCTACCTTTTTGTAGTACTTCTTTCCTTTGATGCTATAATGAAGATTTTTTAGATATTGATATTAATTCCAAATATAAATAAAGCAGTTGCTATATTCCTTAGTCAGCCCAGAGGCCTGAAAATGTAACTTGAATGACTTCTGCAAGCTGTGTTAGAGTGCTACAAATTTCTCTGTCATAGTATTTAAAAGACAAGTGATTTGCATTTAATAAAAGGTTTTCTTATCCAAGCCTATGGTTGTGCTTGACCCCTCAGGTGTTTGTATAAAAACTTATTAGCATGCTTAACTCTGATGTCACTTAGATGAATGTCTCATTACCATGCAAATGGAGTTGGCTGATTTTTGAGGTTAATTGTTACAAAGCAACAGAGAGGTATTTCTATTGTAATTTACTCAACACACAGCCACCACAGTCCAGCAGCCTAAAACTCAACTGCATAAAGTTGTCTGGGAAAAACAACCATATTTTAAGCAGTGGTTTGGACTCAGTTTTGTGTAGCAGCAGCACCCTTCCACTCTTGAAATGAAGCCCTTAGTCAAACTAATCTCTGGCCATGCTTTACACCAAGGTTTGCTGACTTGCAGCCAGGGGGCAAATCTAGTTTAGAAGCTGGTAAATGATGTTATGCTGTAAGTGTAGAAATCCCTTGGAGCAAACTCCCCAGTATGGCCTCAGTCAGCAGTAGTGGTTAATTTACTGCAGACCACCTAGGCTATCTCCTTAGCAAACTGTGTTTTCACTTTGCACAAAGCGCTCTAGAGGTTTAATAGAATTCTTCAGAGCACAAAATAGAACTGGAGTTCACTCTTTAGGAAATTACACCCTAGGATTCATTTTTAAATGCACATTAAGTTTTTTAAACAGGTCAGAATGTTTGTTTCTGGGATAATTTGGCAAGGTTTGCGGTGTTGCCAGGTGATTTCCTGTAACTCAAAAACATTATGACAACTTTAAATACTGGACCCCCTACATTATTGGGGGTGATGGGGAAAGGGTTATCTTTGGGTTTTTGTGGCAGATGTCTAGAAATGTTTGCAATGATATAAATTATCTACTTCTGCTTTGTTATGTTTCTCAAAAGGGTGAAAAATAAAAAGACCTCAGCATGTGCCTCATCATACAATACACTGACATGAAAAGCCTCAGGACTTTTTCACTGCTCAGGAAAATACTTTATTTTAACAGCACATTTAGTTCAAAGTATTGTTCTTTCTCTTGCACAATGTCTCACAACATTTAATACATGGCCTGGTAGAACAACTAGGAAGGTGCAATGGCATTGTGTGTGCCATTGAAATAACTGATACAAATTAAAAGCACATAAATGAGAAATAAACACATTCTTGATTCCTTTTCATTAGACTGATTGCTGAAGAGAGGCTTTTTTTCTTATTTTGCCTGAAGTGAGACTTAGGTCCTTGTCTGTTAGCAGGCAGTTATATATCATCACACATCAAAAAAAAAAAATTAACATTTCCAGCAAAGCAGGATGAGCCAAATCCCAGTCCAGCTGAAATGAGTGGAACTCTGTTTTAATGGGGGTGGGAAGGTGGTCAGGATCACATTTGCTATACTCCTCCTGAGAAAAAAGTTCATGAGGAAACCCCTGTTTCTCTAGTTAGGAACACTCCAAGATGGGTGCCCTGTACTTGTGCATCCTTTGGTGTTGTGCTCCATCCAAATATGATATGTGGGGGTATTTTCCACTACTAAGGTAGCTAAAAGTAGGATATCTCATGCACCTAAAATGGTGCTGGGTTCTGGTGACCAGTTTGGAGAGAGGTACTGTGATGTGCAGCTACTGCCTGGGAGGGCAGAGCAAAGGGAGCTGCCACTGCTCTCTATTGCACAAAGCAAGCTTGCCTGAAAGATCATTTAAACATTCATTTTATTTTGTTTTTAATTTCTCTAACCCCCTTCTTTTTGTGGTCTCAGCAATCTA